GCCGCAGTTGAGAAACATCCATAGTCACCATAGCATGTGTTTGCTGCTTTTGCGCCGTGTGCTATAAAATCATAAATGGTGATTAGTTAGCTGAGCATTCCATAGTAAGAACCACAGACCTATTGGAGATGTATCATCTGTGTTAATTGCTAGTACGGAAAGAACAGTGCACGATAGGAATATTGTTATTAATTGAAGCATTTTGTTTTACAGAACTACACACCCACCGTTTGTCTAAGCGTCTGAATGAAGGAAAAGAACGATAGAGAGCTATTTTATTATTTTCTTCAAATACTTCTTTTTGGCTATCGATGAGAAATTAAGCATCTGTAGTCCCTCCTCATGATCGCTAAATGTTGACGACAGAGAAAAATATCAAAACATTCTAGATTAAGATAGTAATGTATGAAATAACAGCCACTCCCTTTGTCCTTTTGTTTCCAGGGGAAGAAATTCGTTGTGGTGCGTGAAAACGTGATTCTCAGACTCGATTTTGATAATATGTGCGTGGTATGGTGATGATCGTATCAACCGTTGTTGAATGTCATGTTTTTTCTTGCTCGCCAATGAGAGTGATAGAGTTTGTGCGGTAGTTTTAATAAAATGGTGAATTTCGATTTAGTCTTTGTTCAGACATATTTCTGTTAAATCAAAGTTCGTTGATCTGTCCGAGCTTGGTAAAATTTTGCATCTTCTTCAGAAATTGTGTAAACTCGAAACGGAATGCGGATGGTAGAATCTGTCACAGCTAGCATGGTTAGAGTGGTATAAAAAATTGTAGAACGAGGATATTGTAAGCCCAGGTGAATGTACTTGGTACAAACTTGATTACTTGATGAGTGCTTGTGAGGTACGTGACAAGTTAAGCGCTTAACAAATACTTGAGGAAAAACTTTATGCTAGAATGTCTTCGCAAGACAATTTATGTATACTGGATGATTCTGTGGCCTATCTCAGAGATAAATTTCAAAATGTAAAATGAATATAAAAACGTTTTTGCTGTAACAATAGTCATTAGTTTAAAAAGTAGTTCGATTACTCTGAAACCCGTATATTCGAATATACTCAGAAAGGAACATATTCGTTTGGAGTGGAGAACAGCATAGAGGAGATAAGCTTTGAAAAGATATTGCTTGATTGTTTCTGATCCCTGGTGGTGTGCAAATACTACTGGTTCTCTTTTGTTAATAAACTTTTCTGTTTTATCAATTCATATGTGTTCATATTGACAGCATAGAAAAATATCAAAACATTCTAGATTAAGATAGTAATCCCAGGCAAACTTTTTCTGGCACAAAAACGTGTTGATGTGCGTTAATTTCTAACGCGTTTATCAGGTTGCATTTTGACCGTTTCAGCACGTTGAAACGCATGAGTTTTTAACGCGTTTGTATTCGTTGAAAATCAATTAAAATGAAAATAAAATAAAATTCAGCATCAGATGAAATTCTGGTACATGTCTGGATGCATAGATATGCATGCAGAGAAAGAAAACAACTTGTACTTACATGACTTCAATGTGATTCGATGTGGGTACCTAGAATTAAGAAGCAAACACATAACCATCTAAGCTAACAGACGATCGAAACATACAGTAACAATGCTATGTGTTTCGATCATCTCAGTCAGACAAACGACAGTGTTTGCTTCTTTATTCTATGACTTCTTAAGTTTCATTTACAAAGTAAACAAATCTTTTCGCTCTGAATAAAGCATGTCAAGAGACAATCATCTACTTTCTCATACCTAACTATGTGTTTGAGAGAAATGAAATAGTCTGTTAGGTCGATACGTGCGTACCTCATCTTTCTTTTTAAAGGTGAATTCTGACACTAAGTTGCATTTTATTAAGAAAGTCGTCAGATGTACTTGACTTTTTTGAGAAAGGATATTGTAAGCCCAGGTGAATGTACTTGGTACAAACTTGATTACTTGATGAGTGCTTGTGAGGTACGTGACAAGTTAAGCGCTTAACAAATACTTGAGGAAGAACTTTATGCTAGAATATCTTCGCAAGCCAATCTCTCTATCGCTTAACACGTATGAATTCCTAGAAACCTGGTACATATGGTAACGGATTCGCATGGTATAACTCTTTAAGAGACGTACTTTTATGGTGGGATCATGCAACAAGTGCAAGTGAATTTCTGACGAGAACACAATTTCTTGTTTATTTTGTTCGCGGTATAGGAGCTTCAATTCATGGTAACGATGTAATTACATCGGACTTTTATAATCTCATGATCCTCACTTGATCACAATTGATGATCATGTTAGAATTAGTTCTAGGGTCACTGTACAGGTAACAAATATTTTGCATAAATTTCGTAACTTGATATGCTTTTTGGCCGTTTCTAGCCTCATACATTTGAAGAACGTTTGTTTCAAACAGCTTCGATAAGAATTGGAAGCAATTTGATACTAGATCCACTAAGTATATTGTTTTCTGGAACAGAACTTGATGGAAATAATCGACTTTTACCATGCACATTAATAATGAAAAATGATCATCTGCATGCAGATACTCCTTGGTCTGGATGTCCAGCAAAGCAGGTGCAACGTGATTACCGGAATCAATGTTGTAATGTGCTTCAGCGAAGAAAAACAATGGAGTCGGATATTCTTTAAATAGCGTTAGAGAAGGAAGAGATGGAGACTGTTGATTTTCACCAATCGAAAGCCAGCACATAATCTCATTGTTTTCCTAATGAAAAAAATATTTTGAAACTTTTATAGTTGTCTAGAACTCAGATATTGAGCTTCTTTTAAACTTGAACGATTTTTTGACTTTTTAGATCCTTCAAGTATTTTCAATTGCTCATCCTCCAAAAAAAACTTATTAAAAATTCAAAAGTATATTTTCTTAATCAGCTCAAAATGCTCTATGCAATGATGTATAATTAGTTCAAAGAAAACTATCCTTGTAGTTTGCATTACGTGCACCTCACATAGTTAGGCGAATCTCTATTATATGGAAGGACCAGCAAATAACTGATGAGCTTTGCAAGTTTGACGAATGAAGGAAGGACGTTGCTGTTGGAAACTTTGCATTTAGAAATCTTTTCTGGTTCAAACAAAACAAAAGTTTTCCTAGCTGAAGTTTCCGAATTTCAGAAACTGTTTCAAACGTTTCTGATCAAACTAAGACCTCGAACAACTCTGTATGACCTTGCATCAAAAAGTTACAGGCATTTTCCTAGAAGTCCTAAAATCGAGTATTTTTTTTACTTCACTATATAGCGTTACACCTGAAGTGCGTCCCAAGATTTTTAATAGCGGTTTGTCGTAGAGAGTTCATTCTTTTTTTGTTTAAAAGAGGAAAAGAAACTACATCGACTGATTGGCGCCGATTTTTGAATTAGGTCTTAGTTTTTTGCCAAACTGAGGCTGTGGAAACTTCAACTTTAAAATCCGGAAGGATTTTATGGGTTACGGAGATTGTTGGTTTCCTGCAAAATCCATAAAGGCTTAATTGAAAAATCGGCGCCGGTCAGTCGATGTAGTTAGGTGTCTAGTTTAAAATAAAACAAACCCGAACTCTCCAGCCTGAAGCACATTAAAAAGCCTTGGGATGCCCTTCAGGGTCCTTTTTGGACCTTGATCTCTGGAAAACTCCTAAACCGTAAGACTTGGAGGCAAAAAAATTTTTTCATTCCCGTAACTCATTGTGCCGAATATTTATGGAAAGTTTCGTCAAGATCGGATGTACGGTGTCGAAGAAGGATACCTCTTTTTTTCAGATTCATCATTAAAAACTGAGTATGAAAAGGATGCTTGATCGAGGATCAAACGCCCTAATCAGTATGGACGTCTTGGACTCCCCTGCAAGAAGTTCAGAAACAGTTTTGCAAACCTATCTAACTTTTTTTTGTAGAGATGAAGCCGAACTTTTTACATTAGAACCACCATTAAACGGGTTTTAAAAGTACTTATCGCTCTTTTTTTGTGTTCTAGTGGCACAAGATGTGCATCAAATGGAAAACCTAAACCAGAATAATACTAGAAGAAATAATTATAATTCCATCATAGACTAACCGTATTTATGAAACGGCACTAAAAGACTTCACTTGATACCCTTTACAAATTGACGTGGTCATACAATAAAAAATCTTTAATTCCCAGACGATTGCTTTTACAATGACCCTCTAAGAAAATACTGGCTTGAAATAACAGAACTGGAGTTTCGAGCTCACCATTAAATAATGCATTATAACCAAAAAACTCCGCCGTTTTACGATCTTTTGTTGTGGAAGTAAATGACAACCATCTGATCTTTGTACCAACTGCTTGTTTATATTCTGCAATTATATCATCTTTTAAAACACAACAATGATAAACAGTTAAGTCTTCCAAATGTCTTGAATCAAATAAAAGCTCAAATAACAAATGACAATAAGCACCCAGCGTACCAATTTTACTCATTTCTGCATTTCTTAGCGTTGTATTAACTAATTTACAAAGAGATAATTCTGATGAATAAAGACGTGCAGCAAATTTGTAAACCTCTTTCTCTGATTTATCTTTAACGTTTCTATTAGTTGAGCTTCAACTCTTTATTTAATAATTTATCTTCTCCTAAAATACCGATAGTTTTTGTCAACGTAAGAAAAAAGGAAGCTTTTGATTCACAAATATAATCGAAGAATGAAAGTAATTATCTTTAGCAGCATATTCAATAGTTTCTGATAAATTATAAATATTTTCAACAGGAGCATGATCTATTAGTGCTTCATTTCTTTTTACCCATGTTTCAATAAACTCACATAAGCATGCAATACAATCATCAAATGATTTTGTTGCTGGCTCTGGCTTTTCAGGATAGCATCTCCTTAGCCATTCACAAACACATTCAGATTCGTATTTCTTTTCATCACCATATTATTTTACTGCTAGTTGAGGCCTTTCTGGATAACAAAACCGTTCTTCTCTTAAATATTGTGTAACATCAACTTCTTTCTTTATAGGTGTTTGGGTATTTCTCTCATCTTTTCTCATTTGTACCATGTTCTTCAAATCAATAACATGGTCCCTTAATCGTACTTCTCTAAACTGTCTTGTCTACTGATCGCACTTCATGAATCTAAAAAATAGTAAAAAAATACTTGGACTCGGTACCTTTCGGGACTCGCCCAACCCTGTTATGAACGCTCTATTGTTGTTGATGTTCATGTAGCTTACCGCTTGAAAGTAGCTTTACTCTGCTATCCCTGATAAATCCTGACAAATTTCAGTGAATCATAGCGTGATATCTCGTCGATAATTTCAGTAAATGGGAAAATGAAAAATGAGCGTCGAATGAGCAGCCATAGGCGTGGTTGATCAGCCGCATGAGCGCCAGACGGTACATTGATTTTATCTTCGGCAGTTATTCCTAATGTTCACAGAGTCCTAACCCAATAAATCTTTCGTGTTCTTCAGGAAGGCAGACATAAATGGTAAGAAAACAACACACAGCACCGTTGTTTTGAAAATGACGTTTCTAACACAGATAAAACTTGTTTTACTTGCAGCTGCTTACTTTTCGACCGTAACAATGAGAAAAAAACTACTATACGAGCAGTAAACATTCCTTAATCATTTGAAAGCGCTAAGAAACATGTTTTTTAAAATTAAAAATCAGTTAAAAGGGTTTTAACAGACAAGAAGAGTTGGGAAAAGAAATGAAATTTTCTGTAAATCAAATTGATTATTACTAAGCAACAGTTCATTTTATTTCTATTTCAGGTTTCTATAACGTTGAAATTCGAGTGTCGAAATTGTGCTGGCACCAGTATAATTGACAGATGAATTTTCTACTGTTGAATTATATCACCAACATTGATGATAGTCGTGCTATCCGCTCCAAAAATGTTTATAACGATGTTGTGACTGTTACAAGCGAGTGTTCATCAAAAAAAAATCCTCTGTACTAACCATCAATAGTACCCTCATTAACAAGCTGTTACACAATAATCGGAAAGAACCAAAACCTTTTAATTACTCCTTTCTTCAGACTTACCATAATCGTTCCTCCTTTGCTTATTTTAAGGTCATGGTAAACTATATTTTTTGACGGAATCATCGACTGTGTAGTGTTGTTGGATTTGATCAAAAAGAATTTTTTCTCACGTCGATGTGTTTTCAGACTAATTATCGTCTATATGTTTCTTAAAAGAAATGAAATTTTCCGTAGAAAAGCGATGCGAAAGTTTGTTGTGGCATTTTAGAACAAATGTATTGGAAAGAAAGTCCGTTCCAAAAGGAGAGAAATAATCTTTAGTTAATCTTTTCTTTTTTTCTCATCTTATCGCTGATTTTGATATTTTTGTTTTCGGAAAATTATAAAACGCCATAAAGTTTCTGTTTCGGGCTGTTTTATTATTTATCAATTCCCATATAGAGATACTCCCTACATGCGGTCGAATGAGCTGTTTATTTACTGACGACGCAAACTATACTGCAGGTTTAGAAGACTGCTTATTGAATAATTTTTCAGAAGTCTGAAGTTAAGTAAGTTATTAATTATCTCATCCAGGCAGAAAACGTGTTACTAATTTCTGAATTACAGAAAAAAAGCTGGTAAACATCTTCTCGAGACAGTATACTTGCTTAGTAGAAGCCTATATACGGACAAATTAGGCCCCGTGTCACAAATAATGGGTTATAGGGTGATTCAGTACACAGTTCTAGTGTGTATTTAAAGACTTGTACTTCAACAACATGAAAGAAAACAGATCAGCTGCATTTATATTAATAGAACTGATTAGGTAACTATCACGCAAAAGTATTGAAAAATAGTAGTGAAAAGCAGACTTGTGTAAACTTAATAGTTCATTAGTTAATTCAATAACCAATCTTTTCAGAAAAAAGCATACCTCTTGATATAAAACAGATATGTTCAATTTTATCTGTATTGTGAATAGTAAAACTTATTTATTGAGACCCGAAAACAGTAAAACAGTAAAACAGTAAAAGGAAAATCAAGGCATGAACGCGTAAAATAGGCTCGCAGTGGTATGTTTTAACTTAAAGAATTTCTGAATGTAACTCGAAGGAGACAGCTCATATTTAAGGAAAATAAAATTTATCAGACCTTAAGTTCGATCTTCAAAAATGTCGATTTTAACACTTACACATGGTTGCATAGTCCAAACTGTCTGCTTTCGAGTACACTCTGTTTTACGTTGGTTTCTGAGGGTTTACAAGTTTTTTCTAAAGTCTCTGAAGGCAGAAGAATCATTTTTTCTCAAATCGTTTTTTAACTTAAAGATTTCTCCACTGCTTTAAAGAGGTATGTTTAAAGATCCGAAAAAAGTCAATTTCCGAAATTACCATAATTTACTATTCACAATACAGATTCACCCATAAACCCAATACAGAAAATTACAACAAATTATCTAGATTCACTAAAACCTCTAAACCAAATTTCCTAGAAATTTCGGTAATTATCCACTAACGAAAAAGAAAATCTCTCAGTAATTTCCGAAATTGCAAACATTTTCAAAACTAATTACCAAGCACTTACTACCAACGTAAAAAAACACTACGGAAAATACTCGAAGTCTCCAGAAGTCTCTGACTGAAACTTCTTATTTCTTAGATATCTATTAGAACATGGCCCCCTATCTCGGAAAATAAGTGAAGTTTTAGAAATTATCGTAATTTCGAAGAGATTTTAGTAGTTACTACGAAATTACTGAAATTTCTATTAACTAGTATATAGAGACATTGATTGAAACTGGGACCTCTATCTCCGACAATAGGAGAATTTTTAGAAATTTCGGTAATTTCGAGGAAATTCTTGTAATTACTCGAAACTTCCGACATTTCTTTCATTTATTAGACAGAGGTATCCATTAGAATAGGCAACCCTATCTTTGAAAATAAGAGAATTTACAGAAATTTTGGTAATTACTTTGATGGATATAGATATGCAAATAAATATATGACAGGAGGAATCCCTACCCCCAAACGTTTGTGAATCCTAAGCAATTTCAGTAATTTCCACGTAATTTTGGTAATCACTAGGAAATTACTGGAATTTCTATTAACTAGTATATAGAGAGATATTGATTGCAATTGGGGCCCGTATCTTCGACAATAGAAGCAGTTTTAGAAATTTCGGTAATTTCGAGGAAATTTTTGTAATTACTGGGAAGTCTCTGAAATTTGTGTTATTTATCAGGTAGAGATATCCATTAGAATTCAGACCCATCTCCGACAATACGAAAACTTATAGAAATTTCGGTAAGTTTGAGAAAGTTTTTGTAAGTACTGCAAAATTTCCGACATTTCTTTCATTTATTAGACACAGATATCCATTAGAATAGGCACCCCTATCTTTGAAAATAAGAGAATTTATAGAAATTTTGATAATTACGTTGATAGATATAGATATCCAAATAAACATATGACAGGAAGAATCCCTACCCTCAAAAGTTTGTGAATTTTAAGAAATTTCAGTAATTTCCACGTAATTTTGGTAATCACTGGGAAATTACTGGAATTACTATTAACTAGTATATAGAGATATTGATTGCAATTGGGACCCCTATCTTCGACAATAGGATAATTTTTAGAAATTTCGGTAATTTCGAGGAAATTTTTGTAATTACTGGGAAGTTTCTGAAATTTGTGTTATTTATCAGGTAGAGACACCCATTAGAATGCGGACCCCATCTCCGACAATACGAAAATTTATAAAAATTTCGGTAATTTCGAGGAAGTTTTGGTAATTACTGGAAATTTTCGACATTTCTGTCATTTATTAGAGAGAGATATCCATTAGAATAGGCACCCCTATCTTTGAAAGTAAGAGAATTTATAGAAATTACTATCTCTATGTAATAAATAGGAGAAATTATAGACATTTACGGGTAATTACCAAAATTTCCTCCAAATTCCCGGAAGTTCTAAAAGCTCTCCTATTTTCGGAGATAGGGGTCCCAGTTGCAATCAATAATTCTATATACTAGTTAATAGAAATTTCAATAATTTCCCCGCAATTACCAAAACTTCCTCAAAATTACCGAAATTTCTAAAAATTATCTTATTTTCCAAGATAGGGGTGCCTATTCTAATGGATATCTCTATCTAATAAATAATAGTAATTTCAGTAATTTCCTGGTAATTACGGTATCGGTATCGTTTAGTTTACAGAAAGTGTGGGAAATTTCGAGTAATTACCGTAATAGACTTTGGAAGTTTACGGAAATTTCTTTTTCGTGATGGAGTATTTTCTGAATGTGTATGGAAAATTCCCGCTGACGTTGTGGTAATTTTTGGAAGTTTCCTTTTATTTGCTGCTTCGAGTATTTTGCGCAATCGCGTAACCTTTTACTTTGGTGGTAAGTTGTTAGTAATTAGTTTTGAAAATGTTTGCAATTTCGGAAATTACTGAGAAATTTTCTTTTTCGTTAGTGGATAAGTACGAAAATTTCTAG